AAGGGCCTGAGTTCAATCCCCAGTTCCACCAAAAAAAAAAAAAAATTTTTTTTTTAGTCAACCAGCTGTGGGTAAACAGAGGCCATTCAGTTTGTGTCTACTCTGAGCCCCAGAAATCCAGTCCTGGGTGTTCAGAAGCTCAGCATCTGAAGCTTGTCCCCCTGGGGCCACCATAGGCACGGCCACACCCACATCCTCTCTTAATGCCTCCTTGACACCTTTAAAATTTTATCTTTGCTTGATTTCCCCAAAGAAAGTTTTCACTCTAATGTTAAATCTGTGTGCAACCAACTAATTCCATCCCCCACCTCCGGGTGGATTTTTCATTCTGTGTATCATCTCTGGCCAAATATAATGCCCTACCGTACCCCGTACCCTGACTGCCCTTAGAAATCAAGGTCAGTGCCTCATTAGTCTACGCAGGCCTCTACAGTAAACAGAAGTCACACCTATCTAGAATTAAATAAACCTCCCGAGTTTAGGTCACACTACCCCTAGAGCCCCATGTTATACTGAATTTCTAGAATGAATTCTACAAAGGTGGAAGCAGGGATTTATGTTCACGTCTACAGAGTGCTAGACAAGGCTTCCCTTTCCACATTTGCAGCTGTACCTGCTTCTCAATTCCAGCTCCCAAAATGAATTAAAGTGCCAGTTAAAATGGCCTCCCATGCATTCCTGCCTCTCTCAGGTGACTGAGGGCCCAATAAACAGAATTTCTATCCTGGAGGCTTCCTATGGCTGGGTATTTGCTGTGTGTCCTCCTTCCCAGGACTGTCACCTTTATCTCAGGGAGTACTGTGAAAATCACATGGTCCAACGACCTTACCCTAAAACGTTTACATAGTCAAGCCTGTAAGGGTCTCAGCCACTACCAGAATACAAAGTTGCTTCTAGGATTCTAACCCTAAAATTTCCTTCCATTCCAACATTTCCACACTCAAGTTTATCACATAGTAACATTGATATAAAAATAAACTTCCATTTCTTCTAAAAAAAAAGTTTAACTTAATTCACAGTTAGTCTTCCCACCACACTCGGTGCTCTGCTAGCCCCTGGGAACAGAGGTATATTAGCAATAAAAATGGGGTATTAGAAATCCGTGACTGGGGAACTAAAGGAGCCCTTTTCTCCTCCCTCCCGCAACCTGAATCAGACAAGGATTTTCCTGAAATGGAAAGGGACAGGACCGGCCTGCGAGACGAACCTGTGGCACTCAAGATTCACACCCAGGGCGCAGCTGTGAGGAATGGGGAGGAGACAGGAAGGCCAGTCAGCTGGGCTTCCCAGGTCACCAGTGGAACCTATGGGCACACAAGCCCGTGGTGAGATCCTTGGCCTCCAGACTCTAGGACAAGGTCACTGTTCCTGCCCGTCCCCTTATGTTTACTTCTGGCCCAGGACGAGCATCTCTGCGCTCTCAGTCCCTAACATCCCCCTGTCTTCCTGGAGGTTAATATCCTGCTGCGAAAAGTTAATTCATTATCACCACTACAAAAGCTTCCCTGCAGGCCTCAGTGGAAAAGTAAGTTCACTTTTTAGTGTATTGGAAGAGCACAGACAGATAGCAAGTTCACCATCCTGGCCACGGCCAGAATGAAAACCATGATTTACTTATGGGTTCATTTCTCTTTCACCTTCTAGCTAGAATGCCAGAGGTAGTTATACGATAAAAAAAAATCTGCCTATGGCATCTGGCACCGTCTGACCTGAATCCTACCTTTAGTTTTCCTGTCTTGATGTTTGTCTGGTACATAATGCTGTAAGTTACAGATGAAATGCCTAGGTGGAATCACTTCGGTCCGGAAGGCCACAAGGTCGGCTGCCCTCCCTTGGCCAGAGGGACAAGGACATCCCAGAATGGAGGTATGCGTGGGAGGCAGTTGCCTTCTAAGTCCATGTACTTCTGATGGACTGGGGACTCACAGGTCCCAGGGGGACACTGACAGTAGCCAAAGGTCCACACCAGGCACAAGGAGGTTGCTGCCAAGCAGTGACTTGGTGTGTGCTTTTCAGACTGGTAGGAAACAAGCTCTACTATTTCTGCCTCCCGGAGAGAGCATGCTATGCCAGCCAACAACTGATCACCCCAAGGGCCAAGGATTCCCAGCTGCTGACCCTCACACAACTGACAACATCCTTTTTAATAGGACTTTGTCATGTTCAGCATACCCTGACAGGTCCCGGCTGCCAGTTCCCACAGGGTTCTCGCCACCAGGAGTCTCCTTCTCACGTGCGGGTAGCCCCTGTATCACAGGTTGCCAAGCGTTCTGGGTGAGCGCAGGGCTCAAAGTGTGTCACTAGCTCAGGACTACAGAACCCTGGGACTAAGCCTGCTTGGGCATGGGCGGATGAGGGCTTCAGGCAGAGTGCACGGAGCCACTTCACAGGTTCCCAGCCCAGCCCCCTCGGCCAGCGGTGACAATAATGCCCACCCTACCGCACTCTCAGGCCTACAAGCTGTCAAGGATGTTCTCTATTTCTTCCCAACAAAGGCAAATGGCTTGTCAGCAAATGTTTCAAGAGTGACAAAAACATGGGTCCACATGGCTCCTTGCTTCCACTGTCACGCAGAGGGATTCCTGCCCAGTACCTAACAGATGAGCCCCTTATGGGCACTGGCAGCAAAGGATGCTGGGTTGTTCCTGCTGGCTCTGCAGCCGGGATCACAGCCTGGTACTAAGTGAGGCTTCAGAGGGTGCCCTCAGGAGCCAGAGGCTTTCTCGGCCCAGGAAGACATCTCGGGGTGATGACAGTGAGGATGGTGAAGAGCTAATGTGCGAGGTTCAGCCTAGTGAGGCTCTGTACCAGACTTCTGGTCTTGGGAGGAAGCTAGAAAAGTGGGAAGAACCAAGGGGGCAGTTCTGCTCCACTCACCCTACACATGGCCCCCCTCAGGAGTCACCCACACCGTAGCCCTCAGCACAAGCATGGGGGACACAGGAGCAGCCAGATGGAGAGACACCTGGTCAAAAGGGGCCCATGAACCCTGAGTCACCATTTAAAGAAAAATCCAGGAACCTTGTTCCTACCCCTGCTGCCGTTACGTCAGTCCGTCTCAGCGTACAGCAGAGCAGCACTGATAACCAGTATCCACATGTAGAAGGTCCTGGGGTAGGAGTGCTTGGTAACGGGATCCTTCTAGCAAATCTCCCGGCTCTAGAGAAAGGGGGTCTGCCTGGGTTTCCCAGGAGAATCGGGTCCCTCTCCCCATGCCTGCCTCCAGTCACCGACCCCAAAATGGAAAACGCTGAACCTAGACACTACAAGTCTTGACCCAAGTGAGCCAGTGCTCCTCAGCTGTGTGAGGCCAGAGGAGCCTGTTGTCCAGAAATGGAAAGAAAAGGTGAGACTTTAGCTGCTACACACAAATGTGCTTTTGTAAACATGTTACTGGAATGACAGCTAAACTCACACTGCATGGGAGTAAATGTATTAGTTGTACATTTCAATACCCAAAATTATATTGTCTACATAAGAGGGGCTACCTTGCTTAATCCTTGTCTCTTTGCAGTTCCATACACATGGATTTCTTCAGTCTTCAAATCCATCTGTACCCCAAGGAGCTACAGTGAAAATACTTTTGAGTTAAGTAAGAACTTGAAATAAGTCAGGTAAGACCTGTTGTCCATTCACTGGAAAGTTATTCTCTCTGCTGGGTAGGACGCCTGACTTGGGTACAGACAAGTGGGTATGCTGACGATGGGTACGCTGATGACCACTTATGACAAGAGCCAGGCAGGAAAGAAGGGGAAGAGATTAGGTTACCAGTAACTCCTGATCCCAGATTGAAATCCTAAATCATACTCATGGGACCTGGCTTTCAGACTATGGCTACCAGCTACCCTCTGACCTAATCTTGTAGTCATCGAGTAACCCAGCACAAGGGAAGACGCAGGTGATTAAGGGACCCAACCCAGACAACAAGCACTTTGCCAGAAAGCAGGCAAGAACATTACAGGCACTCAGCTTCCTGACCACTCTCCTCGGAGAAGGCACTGCCACACTTTCTAACAGATCACTTAGGTCAGGACCCAACTACTGACCTAAGGAATGTCATTTCTGTGCATACGAGGGCTGCACAGGGTCAACAGTCCTGTTACCACCGTGTGCTCTGACCTCTGAGTCGACCAACTCAACTGGATCCTGGCTAGATTTCCTAAGTCTAGTACATATCTCTGTGATCCCAAGGAGCTGCTGCCGATGCTTCTGGGTACTCCTCATCAAAGTGGAGAAGTGCAGTTCTTTTGCAGCCTGCTAGAGCATCCACTGAGCCACCCTCCCTCCACGGATACCCAGGTTGCTCAACTCCACAATGAATTCCCTGAGGGGATTTCACAGGAAAAATATTACGCCGGGTGGCCACTATTCACTGCCTTTGAAAAATCCATTTGTGTAAGAAACATCCATTTGTCCCTCTCCGTGGTCCCTTCTCAAAAGAACAGAGAAGTCACAGACTTCCTAAGGAGCGGGAAGATGGATCTGATCCCAAGACCACTACCCCTTCAACTGCATGACCTTGAAAGGTCATCTGCGCTGGTTTCTGCCTTTGGACAGATGAACATCTAAGGCCACACAGATGATGTTTTTTGCCAGAATGCACTGAGGGACAAAGACTTTCTGGCAGTCACCCCAAAGTTTCCAGGGCTTGGCTCACTCCCAGAGACAGACCTCTTAAGACCAAACCCCAAGACCAGCCACTCTGGGAGACAATGTTGATTCCCACGTGCTACCAAAGCGAGCTGCGAAATCGAGGCCATCTTACCTTACCTCTAGACAAGAAGGGAAGAAAGGAATTTGCAAAAATCACATTTGTTGGAAAGTTATAAACAATCTTCCTTTGTGTCCACTTAATTAAAAACCAGGCTGATGGGGCCTGGGGTACACTCCAGGCTGCTGTCATCCTAGGCGAGTGGCTCACCAATCCCGTGTCACTCTTCCTATGGGCAACAAGGATTGTCAATGACCAGCATGACATCGATGCCATAGGCCTCCAGCAGGTCCATAAGAAAGCTCCGGTCTCCCTGCGGGTCCAGGCCCATGCCGCGGGCGTGTTCTGCTGTCAGAGTTTTGTCCTGACTGGCAGACACCTCCAACAGAGTCTGAAATATCCGGTTGTTCTGCTCCAGGAAAAACCTACACGAGCAAAGGTGGGGAGGGAAGGCAAGACGGAGAGCTCACCAGATCATCCATGCGGTACCACCTGATCTACAGTTTTGTTCAGTATCCTCATTTTTTTGAGGGCTAGGATTGAACCCAGGGCCCTTCTTAAAAACCCTTCTTAGTACATGCTTGTCGTACACAGCAGTGACACCATTGTGGGGAGGTGGTACATGTACAGAACACATCTCATCTCAATTCCACTTCCCCTTCATCTCTTGGACCCCTCCCATCGGCAAGAGATTTATCTTTCTGTGTCCTAGCTATGTCCTCGGAGGCAGGATTTCACTGAAGTT